CGACCAACTGATGATGACAACGACAGCGAAGGCATTCATTTTTGCCAGGTGGATCCATCGATCGAAAATTGGAAAATTCGAATTGGTCGACGACAACCTTGACGATGTTGAGTTATGAGGCGAACATTGAGTAGTGTGGCAAACGATGATGCTGAGGGCGGACGGAGGGAGGTGGGCTTGAGGTTCGGCATCTTCCTTATTTGTCTTCAAACAGTATTTCATCTTTCAATGTTCAGACATGTTACTTCGATTACCATCATCGACCGACCGCTGGTGAATCGTCTCTACTGAATTGCCTAGTCTCATGGATTTGCTGGCCGATTAACGATGCCGAAGATCATGGGTTTAAATTTGACTTTAAGACTTTGGTTTTCTACCGGTTGCTATTTGTGGATGACTTTGCAAGCTAGCAGACAGGACCAGGATAAACGCTGCTCCTCAACTGAAACCAGTTGCACAGGAGGTGATTCTGCGGCAAACAGCTTTTCCATGTACTATTGACTTTGAAAGCGAGGAGGAAGCGGCAAACAGGGAGCGACGTGTGTGGTCATTACATAATACCCGTGCGCCCCGTGATCGCCCGCTGACTGATTGTTTAGAAACGATTATCCGCAAATGCTTCGAGAGAAAGAATTATTAGGAATAAACGAAAGAAGGTCTATTGCTGGCATGCGATAGCCAAAGAATTCCACTGTTACCGCCGTAGCATGAGGCTGGGAATGTAAAATCGTTCACATTAGTTAAGATCGATCTAATTGTTATGACGAATAATTTATAAGACCGTGCTGACGTCAGCCGCTATCGTGTTTTTGAGAGTACGAAACTGAGGATCATTTGAGATTGGCTGGGTTCCTTTTGTTCGAACTAATTGCCAAGTTTGCACCAAGGACGTTGAACTACTCAATGAATAAACATTAAATAATGCATAGCGCGGAGTGTCCTCTGGTCAGTAAATTGTGATGACTGGCGAGCAATCCATGGACAACAGGACTACAAGCCCGCATTCCTGACATACATTGGTCAGAAATTCTCACGAAACTGAGGATACCACTAAATAAGGGAACAAGAGAGGCTTCAATAACGCAACAAGCTCATCGTTGCTGAAAACATGACTGATTACTATGGCTTGAATTAGTCGACTTGGCCCTGTCTTGGGTTTACGATGGGATGCATTCCACCGTTTCACCGCACGTAATATTACCAGGCGACGTACTCAAACAAGACCTAAGGAAAGACCTGACTGACGTCTTAGCGATGATGGGAATACTGACTGAAAGAAACAGCTCCATTGACGACTCGTTAGCCCACTGTAATGGTATAACTGCGTTTCCTGCTATCTAATCGAATGCTACCGTCCAATAGCCATCGAAAACTCGTGTGATTCACGTCACATGGTTATGGGTGGGAGGTATTGATTCCTTTCCTGCTTGAGCATCAATCAGATCACATTTAACATCATATTTATCATCATAGATCATGTTTGAGATTATGAAACGAGCAGGAGAAAAAGACTGCTGATTCTCGATATCAACTTTTTTGCATGAACTGATTTACTGCACTTAATTTTCTGCGGGTCCATC